AGCAGGAACGAAAACATGGAATTCTGTTCTACCCTGCTAGGCAAGGATAGGACAGACACAACACTATTGCCAGTTTGCTCTGAAATGTATTTACTCATGCATTTCTGTCTAATACTTTGCACAATTGCCTTTTCTGACCTAATCCCAATGCAACTAATGTCATACAAATCATTCTGAATAGTCCCAGTTTCTCAAAATCTTTGAAAACCTAGCTGCCCAATAAAGGTGGGAGCAGGGAGTCTTTCTGTCTTGATGCACAGACGTTCCCGCACATGTTGTGTAGTCAGGACGTGGCCAAGAGCCATCAAGTCGCTTTGCGCCATCTTTTTCTACTTGTCTCTTGATCTCTTCGTTTAGACAGTAAGATCTATGGGTAGGGACTGCATGCTTTTTTGGGATGACATTATGCCAAGTAACAGGTAATAAATACCAAAGATAATAAAACTCTTTGGCTGTAATAGCATTTAGGCTATCACTTCTACTTGGGGATTTTGGCCAGTGTTTCCAAATACCTTTCTGCCTCCCTGCCCTCCCACCATGGTTCATCTCTCCTCACCTCATAAAATGCACTAAGGAATTCTGTTGTGCTGCCTAAAAAAGATGCAGCCTTTCTGGGGCTTGGCTCCTTCTCGTATCCCTTTCAAATATGTACCACAGTTGCATTTATTTGGAGCAAAGTGGGAGCCCTTCAAAACCCCAAGCAGGAACGGCAGGGTTATGATCGTTAGGAAGGGTTTGAAAAAACCGATTTCTCTCCAGGTGTTTGATGGTGCTGTCATAATCCTGTCCTTGGCACCAATGGTGGCCTCAACAGTGGCTAACGGCCCCAGCAGCCCATGGGATGCTATCAGCCTTATTATCACATTACGAATATGGAGAGTGAAGAGGATCATTGATGGTGAGTGGTGTTTCAGTTTGTGACTCCAAGAATTACCTGGCAGGCTGGGAAGAAAGGGATTTTAAGAATATTAAAAGTTTGCCTGCAACCGCTGTTTCTATTGTTCTCCTTGCTCTTACACTTTAAAAGTACTGAATGGGAAGAGAGTTGTGACTCCTGTGGAGGAGTCTCAAGTTCATGGCTGTGTCTCCTGGTCCCTGTGAGCCTTGATAATTGATTGGCTGGGTTTTCTGTTAGGCACCTTCACATCCCCTGTCCTGTGAAGTAAATGCCCTGACCCGCTTCCTGTCTCTTGGCACCAGATGTCATTCCTGATTCTGCAAAATAATTGCTTCCAGTCTGCTTTTCTGATATTTGCTGCACCCTCCCCATTTCCATCCAGCTAGCTCTGTCTTGGGGCTTTCTTTTCTAAGTTCTTGTCTGCAACACAAGTTTTATGTTCCAGGATCATTTTCTTACCATGGGGGTTCCGTGCTGACGGTGCTTTCTGCAATGCTGATGTGTTGTACAGGATAATAATGGACCATGCGTCAGTACCATTTTGCACACACCTCTGTGGGGAAGCCCTCGGGGAGATGAGAAAGCCCCAGCAAGTCGAAGTTGCAGGGAGTGGAACTGGTGACTGTGCCGAAAGCAAGGACTTAAGCGTAGGCTGCTTTGTGTTCAGTGGTTTCAGGCATTGCAGGTTACAGGGAAAAAGGGTGGAAAAGGAATAAATGAAGGGTCACTTTGCTCATGTGTGAAAGATCAGAGTCGCATTGTTGTTTTGGGTTTAGGTGCCAGGGAAACTCTGTGTTCGGAGTTGAGGTAAGGTCTTAGCCCTCTGACTGAAGTGTACCAGAAAAGTTCAGGATCTTATGTAGCTTCAGAAAACATCAGGAATCGTGATGTGCATTGAACAGCTTTGCTGATCAGTGTGAATTTGCCATAGTTATGATAGGAGCAAAATTTCCAGAGGCGTTTAGAAGACCTGTTGAAAACTGGGCTGTAGCTTGAAAAGAAAGAGAAGATAAATGCCTTTTTGTTTTTTAAAATATCCTTCTTAGTCTGCTGTTTCCATTAAGGACTTATTTCTTACCGCAAAGTCTAGGAATTAAATGTGTAGGGCTCTGGAATAGTGCTATTCCTAAGGGAGCCATGCTGTTCAGGTTCAGAGGGGACGGGCCTAACTCTAGGCAGAAATTCCTCCTCCCCAGTCATTCAGGAAATCTGTGGTAAACGCTGGAAAAGATCTGTATTAGTGGAGCGGAAGCTAGGAAGAGCATGCAGGATACATTTCAGCTCAGCCAGGCAAACGGAGATCTAACCAAACAAGATCTAGACCCTGCTGATGACATGTGTTAGAAATAATTTCCCAGAAGAAATACTCTCGTGCTATTTCTCTAAGAAATACTCTGGTTGTCTAGATGCAAGTGAAAGGAGTGACATTCTTTGGCCTGTAAAAGTCCGTGAAGCTTTTGCCGCTGATGAAAAAACAAATCACAGCTGGGTTACTTTAAGTGCTTATTTGTGTTTTCCAGCCTATGTCCTTCCAGTGAAAGTGGAGATGGAGATGATGATTCAGCAATATGAGAAGGCAAAGGTTATTCAAGATGAGCAGCTGGAAAGACTAACCCAGATCTGCCAAGAACAAGGGGTAAAGTTCAGTTATGTCTGTATTTACGCGTAGCTTGTCATGGCAAATCAAACAGTTCATGTGCTTTGCTGCAAGCTAAGGTTTGAGAAGTATCACTAGGGCTTCTGGTGTAAGTGACAGGTCTCAGTGTTAAGGAAGCATTAGCCACAGCCAGGACACTGTCAGTGTGCTGTTTGTCAGGCAGCAGTTGTCTCCCTCTGCTGCCGTGCCTGTCTTTTTTAAGGTGAGGAAAACAAATGTGAGGAATAGAAGAATGCTTCCAGTATGTGATTTATTGAATGAGTACAGCTAGCTTGACATAACACTAAGAACATGCAAACATCATTGACGTTGTTGGAGACTGCAGCTAGATTAAGCCGTATTCCTAGGAAGAGTACGTGCGGTTGAAAGCTAATGGATCTCCCTGCTTTAAATGCAGAAGGCAGCTTCCCTGTAGGTCAGTCAGAGCTTCTTTTGGCAGACTCAGAATGTTGCAATAGAAGCTTCTAGTTGCTGGAAGCAAGTCAAGATTTAAGACTCTTGTCGGGCCCCCAAATATTCAGTGATTCAGCCTTGAGTTAAGGGAAGGTGAGGCTTAAAATATCTCAAATGAATATATTGACATGAAAAAGATGTAAAACTACTGCTTGGGCAATGAGCCAGGAGTTTTTGCAGTTTGTCTCATGCAAATGAGTACTTGAATAACCTGCTTTAAATTAGAAACCAGGCATGTATGTTGAGGCCCCGGCTCAGTGAGGCGTTCGAGTGACCATCAAACCACAACAGAATGACCCCCCAAGTGACTTCTTTTTTTCAGCTGTAAGGTTGACTATGAGGTGTCCACACAAATTCTGGAGATTTCTATCTTCAGTTCCCACTCCCCACTTGTGGTAGGTGCTTTTCACATACAAAATGAGGGGACCTGTAAGTCTGAATGGCTCAATTGGTCAAAAAGTTGAAGGGCCTGAGCAGACCGGAGGAGAGGCGATTTATCCCAGAACAGACCAACTGCCCAAAAGGTACATAATCTGAAGCAGGGATTTAGGTGCCTGTCTTTTACCAAAGAACCAGAAATACTTGTGAAACCATCAATATTTAGGTCCCTAAGTGGCTTTTTAGATTTAGTTCCAGGTCTTCTGGATCTCAGCCTAGGATTCTGTGATGAACTCTTGGTGGTGTTAGGTTGCCTTGTCTGTGTGGTGAATTCAGAAGACCTGTTGACAGTGGGTGTCATTTCATAACACTATTTTTTGAGCATCTCTGACCTTAACAATAACAAATTTCTAAAGCTTAGGCTTGACTTTTTCCAAAAATTAGTTACTTCCAACTATGTAAGTATCTTCAGTGGCAAAACTGCAGTCCTCTTCATCATTACGTTGCACAATGATATTACGTGATTCATGGTTCTGCCATGGTTGTGAAATCAACAGGGAAATATTCCCATTGTACAGGGGAGAGATTATCCTTTGACTAAACGCACTAGGCAAATCAGCGATTTCTGGAGTCTCCTTTTAGGGTTTTGTCTGTCAGACCATGCTATTAGGCTAAAGTTCTTGACAATCATAGTTTTAAAAGCATTCATTTTTAGGAAACGTGTTATGCAGCCTGACAATACTCTCAATCTCAACAATTTTCGGTGTTGTTGTTTCATCGTCTTTGAGTAAAGGAGAGCTCGTTATCCCAAATGGGGTTCAGGAGCAGCTTTTGCCGCTCTCTCTTCTGGTCCACGTACTCCTTACCTGCATGTCTAGCTTGCAAAGTGTCTGAGCGCAGTGGCCCTAATCTGAGCTCTGATGGTTACAGTAGAGCTGTACGTCAAGCACAGAGAAATACTGCATTGGTAGATGGGTAAATCTGTGAAAACAGAGTAGGTCTCTCCTGGCTTTCAGGTGTCATCAGCTATGGAAAAATATGGACTATAGAAAAATGACAGCATACTAATCCCTCTTATTTTACTGTCCTGACTTCCTGCCAAACAAATGTCTCAGCTGTATAATATGAGGTAAATGTACTAATTTGCTACAGTTAGCAACAAAAGACATTGACACAACTACTGCATCCTTCCTTTGTTAATTAATAAGCTTCATAATTCAGTCAAGAACAAGCTGTCAACATAATATTCACATTGACATTGTGTACAGTATCTGGTGGGGAAAATGTCTCCTAATGGTATTTAATGTCCATAATTCTGCCAGGTTTTTGATTTTTCATTTGATCATCTTTCCTGACGTTCTTAAAGGATTGCTTATTCATGGAGTTCAAGTGTGCTGGTCTGTGTTTTTGAGCGGAGGTTTGCCTGCGGCAGTCTGGCTGTTCTTGGGTCAGGAGAGGTTCCAGTTTGTCATGTCGGTGTGGTACCAGCTCTGGCACAGGCAGATGGGATGGCTGGAGCTGCCCATGGGGCTTGACCTGGGGCCTCAGGTACATGCTGGGGCACACTAGTGCCAGCCCAAGGAGCAAGAATGGGCAAGCCATCATGGTTGCCTGCATCCCAGCAATGGAGGTAGATACTGATGTATCCTGAGGCTGCATCTTAGTGGCCACATGGAGGATCTGCATTTGTTTAGTAGTTATAGACAGGACTGAAAACGTTCCTGTTAGAAAGATTTCCCAGCACTTCCTTTTCTGAGATCCTGTGTTCAGTTGATTACTGCTTTGCCGCTTGTCAGGCAATTGGGGTTGAAATTTTCGAGGTCTGGCATCTTCTGCAGATGAAGTTGTTTTGAAAGTTTCAGACAGAATATTCATTATTTCTGTAGAGGAATTGGGGAAAAAAAATCAGCCTGTTTTGTTCGGGATTTAAAACAAAAATAATTGATGGCCAGTTTTCTGAAAAGTCCCGTGCCCTCCTCTTTTAAAGCAATAAAAGCAGGAAAGACACAGCCTCCTTTCATCTTACTTTTTAAATTCTATTTCTTTTCTCAGTTGTATATTTTTTTGCCAGTGATAGGGTATCACAACTATAAAGTACATTTTCTTTCCTGAATGACATAGGAGATGTACTTTTGCAAACGTGAAAACTCTTTCCAGATGTTGATTTTTGGCTAGCCATACATGTGAAAACCAGAATATATTTTATAAATTATAGTTGCACGGACCACCACTTTGTTCTCTCTAGTACCCCACCGAAACTGTTTGAATAGTTTGCTGTTTTATTTATTCTCCATTGGCCAAGAAAGAAGTCATTAAAAGGGAGTGGAGCGTGAGGGCAATCAAGGCAGAAAATACTGAAAGGGCTGAGATATCTGTACAGGACTTCACAAAACATGAGAAATATTAACAACCACAGTAACAGGGATTTCTAAAACTGGGTAAAGGTAAAAAGTCTCACTGCAATTACTGTCAAAAATATGAACAGAGTATCTTGCTGATGGTATTGTTTTATCAGAATAACTTAAATTGCAAAACAAAGTTCCAGAGTTTCATTAACAATAGAAGTTCCAGTCAGGGAATATGGCTTTTTTCCTCTGGAATCACCTGTGAAGGAATTTCCATTTCTGATAGTAGATCTACTTACATGATCTTTTCTGCTTAACTTTTGTAAGAGTGATTCAGCCTAGTACAGTCCAGCCAAGACTATGTATTCAGCCTTATCGCAAGAGCTCCTTTTCTGTCAGCTCCTAGAGAATTGGGTTTTTCATCATTCTCAAAGCTGCAACAACTATGGAAGCTATAATTTCTTTTTTATCTTGGAATATAATTTGTACAACAGCTGCTAGTTTAATGACAGGGCTATTTAGCTGGTAAAATTACCTATCGGAGAAATAACTTATGTTATCCTTTTGCAATGATTTTAATTTATTTCTAACTACCAGTCATTTGCTTGGTGAATGGAAGGCAGCCAAGGTCATCCTGTGTTTCATTCTGCCCATAAATCATTAGTTTGCAACTGTCTCTTGATTTTTATTGTTACCAACAATGGCTAAACTAATGGAAATAAACATTGGATTGTATCCCAGTGGCAGATGAGTTTTAGGGCAGGGCATTCTGTACAGACAGCACTAATAGAATTGAGCAAAGTTATTGCTCCTGCATTAGACATGAGTAAGCTTCTGGATAAGATGTTCACTGATCCCTCAGGAACTGTGTCAGTCATACTCTGTTGCTGGACCATTAAAGGGCAGTACTATATGATTCACTGCTAAGTCTCTTTTTGAGTCTTACGTGCGTGTTGTGAAATGTCAGGTAGGATGGGTGGCATGTGTTATAAAGCCAGACGTGTAAATGGAGATGTTATATAGAGCTCTAGGTAGGTCTCTGTCATTTTACCTGCTTATAAATCATCACCTAATGCATTCCTTGAGTGAGGAAGAGCACACCTGTGCCCCGTAGTTCTTTCTGGTCTGTTTCCTGCCAAAATATTGCTGCATTTGTGCTACAACAGGACATGTAACAAATTTTGAAAGCGCTAAGTAAGTTTAAATTTACAATCAATGAACTTTCTCTTCATGCCTGACAGTCTAGTTACTCATGAGACGGTCTGCATCTCCCTTTGTCTTGGTGTAAGTGTGTTTTCACATTAGCCAGGTGTATTACAGCTTTATTGCTGTCTTCAACTCCCTTGTGGGAGGGTGCAGCCAGGCTCTCTTCAGAGGTGCACAGTGACGGTACACGAGCTTGGAGTATGCAAAATTCCTATTAAATATAAGAACAAACATTTTCACTAGGAGAATGGTCATGGCATGGAGCAGATCGCCAGAGAGGCTGTGGTATACACAACCCCGGAGATGTTCAACACTTGACAGGACAGGCTTTTAGCACCCTGAGCTTTACGTGGAGTGTTGGACTAGATGATCCTCACAGGTCCCTTTCAGCCTAGGTTATGCTGTGATTCTGTGAAATTTTCAAATACATCTTTTCTGTTGCAAAGTATGTTAGGAACTTACTGATAAAAGAACCCACCACGAACTACCAAAGTATATGTAATTAAAGATAAAGAATATCATAGGTGCCCTGGTAAATAAAGTCAGTAGCAGTCTCAAGTGGAGCAGTGCTCAGTTTGTCATTATCTGGAGTCAGGAGATGGGTTACCTTACCTTTGATCGCCACAAGTCATCTTCCACACAGCAGCATTGTTTGCCCACTGGCTCTCTGTGGGATTGACAAGGTTCTTTACTCCTAGGTGTCAGCTCTGTGTTAATCTTAATTTAACATCGAAGCACGGGTATAAGTTTATGTGCTGCTTTTTTCTATTTTTCCTCATGATACGGATAATATTCATCCTTCCTTCCAGGGTGAAGGAAGGGTGGTCTACCTGAAAATATGAAACATGGTTTTCTCAGTACAGCTCTCCTGCAGTACTCTGTGTTACAGAGGCCCAAGTCTGCAGACAGCTATATCAGCTCCCACTGCAAATAGAAATTTCATGTGTTTGACTTGGCCCAGAATTTTTACTTATAAAGACTGTTATATTTTATACCTTTTAATGATTTATTTAACCCACCCTGGACTGCAAGACATGCAGTGAGAGCAATCTCATTAGCTCTTTTACACATTAGAACTGCCTGAGGTCAGTGCTCAATATAATGTTCAATAGATATAAGCACCTATGACATAATTTGCTCATGCAGTCTCTCCTTGAATTACACCTGTAAGGAACACCCACTTCTCTTAGACTTAACCTTTGTTTTTAGTACGTTGCTTTTAGTGGCCAAAACTATGTTTCCAGCTTCTGTAATACCTTGGGATAATTTTGAAGTGATAATTGGAAACAATTAATATTGAACTGATCTCCTGAGCAGACGCATGCCTTTTGTGAGCAAAAATCTGTTTCTTGTTTAACATTTCCCAGATATTTTATTCAGTAAGATCAATAAATCATTTTCTTAAATCAATCCTTATGATAAATGGTGATTTTTCCATCCCACTCAGCCCATTTTTGAAGATGCCAGAGACTTAGAGAGTTTGCGTTTGCATTTGGAAGCAGTATATTGAGTTGGGTTTTGGCTCTGTGTTATGCTGTGTGTCTGTAACAAGAGTTACGGTTCTGCATCTCTGTGGAACACATTGTATGGGTCGCTTTGGATCAGTAACAGTGACTGTGGGAGTGAGACAAACACCATTATTACAATCAATACCCTCTTCCCTGTCAATAAAAAAAAGACAGTTCCACACACAGCAGCATTTAATTCTAGCTTTCCCCTTTTTTAATGGCTACATAAACTTCAGGGCAAACACAAACAGGACCTGGAAGCTGCCCAGCAGAGGTCATGGAAACGTGGAAGAGAGAGCCTGTGTTAACCAGCTGCAGCTGCGTGGTTTTGTAGGCAACCTCAGTTTCTGCTGTTGTCTTTCTGAACACCTCTATGTGCTGTTATTCACCTTGCACGTGATGTTGAAGTCCAGAGCACTGTGCTGCTTGGCTGTGCCTAGGAATTCAATGACAGTCTCATGTTCAGTTCTGGATCTTAGACCAGCTGAACTAGCTCCAGGTTAAGAGCTGAAAAGAAGACAAGCATGTGGATTGTGTTTGCAGCTAGCAAGAAGAGGGTTCATGTATCACTTAAGAAGCTGCAAGTCCTGCATACACTGCTCATCCTCAGGCATGAGCCAAGACATCAGGTCTGGGTTTCAGTTTCTGCTAGAACGTGACATTCTCGCAGTCTTCACGAGCAGGTGCTGCCCCTGCTGCTGTAGGCTCGAGCATGTATTTCTGCCTCTCGGGCATAAGATGGCAGCAAAGCCCCTTCTGGGTTTGACATTAGCAGAGATACTAGCTGTTCACCGGAGTACCTGGGGCAGTCACCTTCTCTCTGGATTCCAGTTTCTCGTGCTGTCTGTGTGGCTGGCATTCAACCAAGGTAGTAATTTTTCCTGTATAAATAGGAAATAAAAAATTGTTTGGACAAAGTGCAGTTGTCCAGCATGGTGATCCCAGCAACAGCTGCAGACTGCTCCTTGGTCAAGCATGCCAGGCTGAGTAGTTCATAGCTTGTTGGCAGAGCCGTATTAAACAATAAAATTTATGAACTCATCTATTGAAAGCTGGATGGTGACTGGGCATGGATATTTTAAAGATTGACAGTAATCTCTGGATATTTGGAAAGGCTTGCTTTATCGGTTGGGACATGTGAGCGGGTGTCGGAAAGGTGTCTGCCCCCGTGTGTGCTGTAGGTTCTCTGTAGCACGAAAGACCACCTTCCTTTTACACGTCTGTAAAATGCAGTGGTTCCCTCCAGGCATTTGATTGTCACGAGGTTCAGCATATCTTTGTAAATGCATGAGCTGGTTAAAATGGGTGTGATGCAGAAATACAATTGTTGAGCTGACAGTTAGGTAGTTTTGTGTATTTGTGTTATAAAAGACCTGTCAATTGTTTTCTCTTCCTTGAAAACAAGAAATCATATCCTGCCTCTAGGCCAAAATTAAGCATTTTAGTGGCAATATTTCTTTTGCTGACACACAGGAATGTTTTTGAAGGATGAAATGTGAAATGCAGAAAAACAGTAATGATGCCTAATTGTTATTGCCTTGTAGTTTGAGCTAGGCAAGTAGCTACGGTTAGGCAATTATTTTTAAATAAATCTCCAGATTTATTTTCTGCCTGTCGTGTTTGAGTACATTTCTTCCTTTAAACCAAGGGCAAGGGAGTGTCTAAAAGGGTATCTTTCTCCCTTTAAAGATGAAATGGAAGATATTTTAAGATTTCTTTTTCTTTCAAGTCAAGGATAAAACCGGAAATCCTCTGTCTTGTCAAGCTGAAGTCCGGACAGTCCTTTCACAACTGAACGACACGTTGATACGGGCACCTCTGGTATGGCATGGGTGCCTTCAGCCTCGGGAAGCTTAGGGCTGGCTGGGAAAAGAGTTAGCACTACCAGTTTGCTGCTACTTCCTGGCTGATAGGTTAACACAAAACCCACCATCTGGGATCTACCATGGAGGTTTCATTGCAGAAATCAAGGAGCAGGGCTGTATTTTGACATTTGCTGATACTATCTGACCCCTCTGACTGCCACTGCCGGAGGACCTTTGGTTCAGAGCAGTGAGCATTTCGTGCAGCCAGCTGTCTGCAGCTGCCAGACCTCTGTCCACTGATTTTGAGGCAGGGAAAAAGCTGTGTGCTTTCCTGGATCCCTATATTAGGTGGTTTGAAAGTGATCTGGAAAGCTTAAACTGACTTTTGCTCTCTAGATTTGAGTCTTGCAACGGGTCTTCCACTCAGTGTAGTTCCTTCGCTTATGCTCTGGAAAGCAGATAGTCTCCGAATCTGGCAAACTGGAATCCCTTTTGCTTTCCTCTTTTTTTCTTTCTGCAATCTGCAGAAACTCTTCTCTTGTTTCCCCTCCAGTCACTTACATGGCTTGAAGGAACTGCTGGTGCTCTGCAGCATGCCTGGGTTTTGTGCTGTGTCTGGTGTGGACCGCGGTGGAACAAACTAGGTCCGCTGACAGGATCCCAAAACCTGACAATCAAGTAATTTGAGTCAGCATCTGAGAGGCAAGAGCCAGAACCAGACTCATTTAGCCTATGTGCTGTTACACACCAGTTTTCAAGCATTGAGGTGCTAATTCCATCTCTGTTGTAAATGCGGAGTGACAGATGCAGTGTGGCTCGCTGTAGCATTGTGCTCTCTGATGGCTTTTCAGGCCTCGAACTGTGGGAGGCCCAGCAATGTTAAATTTTAGATGCCTCAGCCTATTATTCACCTCATTTGCTTTTCTGTCTCAGGCTCTCTATAATTAGACAGGACTTGGTCACTGCTGTACTCTACTGATCTTAAAAAGAGTTTGAAAAAGAGAAGCCCTCTGCCACGCAGCCTCATAGCTGTGCTGGATGGCAGAGGGGAAGGACAGTGCGATCTTGTAGTGCCTATTTAAGGCTTTAAAGGATCTCTGCCACCTCACCAGAAAAAGTATTTTCCTTCTTGCATTGTGGAGGACCTCTGGCTGTCAAACACAAGAGAAATATTCAGTGTCCATCAATCAGATTGTACCTGGTAGTTTGTGTCTTCTTGTCAGTGTCTGCTTTATAACACCAGTCACGAGGCCAGTACCCTCCTGACTGCAGAAAGTCATTAACTGCCATGGCTCATATGATTGAGGGGAGTGGCCAGAAAAGTGGCAACCTTCCCCAGGTTTTCTGCCCACTGTGGAGTACAGAAGATTTCCAGCTGGAAGAGGACTGTGGTGTCTTTCCCTCTTGCCCAGTTAGTGGGGGAAGAACCATTCTGGTACTGCTTAGAGAACCTCCCTCCACGGAAATCCTTATTATAAAGTCGAGCAGATTAGGGATATTTGTCATGAACCTAAGTCCCTAAATGCCTGTTAAGGGTGGTATTCTATAAAGATTTCATTTGATTTGGCAGTTATATTTATTAAAAATTGTCCAAAATCATATCTGCAGGATGCAGACTTGTGCAAAATAGAAGACCAGCATGAGGCAGTCATTGTTTTTGGATGATGGGAGCAACGGTACAGCTTGAATGGGTTCTGGGGAGAGCATCAGCAGCTGGGACTCACATCCCAGCTCAGCCACGCTGTACTTGCTGTCACCAGTCTGTAGTGGCTTAGTGATAAACTGAGTAACAGGTCCCCAACTGTAGAATACAGACTTCTGGCCATGCTTATATGACATTAGTATGTGGTGTTGTTTTTTCTCTAGTTTGAAATCAGGCAGCTGAGGGCCCACCTCGCTCAGCAGGATTTGGATCTGGCTGCGGAGAGAGAGGCTGCGTTGCAGGTCCCGCATGTGCTGAACAAACAGAGCAGCAACAGGTACAAGGTGGTAGCAACTGAAGATTCAGATGATGAAGCCACTGAGAACATCACTGAGCTGCGACCTCCACATGGTGAGTGCTGCCTGTGTGCTGCTACCCGCTGGCACAGCTGGTCCCTTACATGGAGTTACTGAACCCACTAAATACTTTCACTCTACCGGTGAATTGGTTGCTTACCCTGGAGACTGCATTTTCCCATTTTTGCAAAGAGGCTGCGTCTGCTTCAGAGTGGCAGGAGCTGTTGTATTTGTTAACAGATTCTGAACAGAGCCAATAAAATGACCCGGGAAGAAAATGGCTATGATGTACCTTTCCAGTGTCCTCAGGATCGTATCCATCAAACACTAAAGAAGCAGCAGCCAAATCGGAATTGGCAAAACGATAATCACTCAGAGGTAAAAGCAGGGCAACTGAGAACAGCATTGAAAAACAGTTTTGGTCTTTGGCTACTTGCATTTCTGTGGTTTAGAGAGGACCCATGCATCAGCTGTGGAGCCTGCCTTGCCTTGCTGTGCTCTCACCAGACTGCTTAGAACTGTCAGTGCTGGACAGCCCAGCTTGCTTGGACAGGGCAGCTCTGGTGCTGGAAAGGGAGCGATGCGCTACGTGGGCAGCTCCTGCTCAGATGTCTGAGTGACATGTGACTGCGGTGGAGGGCAATCCTGTGGGTGGTCTGCGAGCTGTCTGTCGGACAGGGGTGTGGATCGGGAATACCAACAGTTATAGGTACCTGGGTCCATTTTTGTCACCCAAGTGCTAGACCAGAAGTATTTTTGGAAAATTCATAGTTTTTTTTCCTGTGATCCCCCAACCCTTACAATGGAGTGTAGAATGTGTCCTGATCTCAGAAACATTTAACGTAATAATCCAGAGGAGACAGTGCTTTCTAACTTAGTGATACACAAGTCTTCCTGGGACATCTTAGCTTGATTATTTTAGCAGATGAACAGTATGCGAATGTATCTGAATTAGAGGTTTGCATGGTATCTTTATTTTGGTCAAACTACTTAGAATTCAAGGCGCAGAAGTACTTTAATCAAAAGAATTAAAAGAAAAAGCTCACCAGACATTTTCACATGATAATCCTTTCCATTCTCTACACAGTGATTAAAGCATGTAGAAACTGTTTGTGTTTTTTTCCTCTTTAATAATACCTAGGCGCTAACCACAGTTCAGCCATTAATTATTCCTGATTTGAAATTGTATTTAAAAGCAGGCAGTTGAGCAGACTGCCCCCTAAAATGCATTTTCCCCTTTTTCATAGTATTTTAGAGATTTCCCCAGTGGATATATTATAATTTATGCATGTGTTCCTTGAGGGTTACATTTGGAGCTGGAGAGCGTTGTGCACGTTATAAGGAGGCTTGCTGGAATTTTAGTGCTGTGGAGATTAATCTAAAAATTCTTCTGTCCAAAGTATTAATTCTAACATCCAGGTTAACCCAATTACTCATTATTTGTTTCTCCCTGTAAAATGCTGGCCACACATGCAACAAAATAGACATTCTGCAGGACTGACTTCTGCATTCAGTTAGATTACAGGAGTAGAGAGATTCATGCTTTTCGCTGAACAACGATGTTCAGCGAATAAGAAAACACGCATTACTTTACGTATCACGTAAGGTGCAGTTATGTTGTATTTGAACATTCATGCTGAGTATACAGAATTAATTTCTGATTCCTAGAAGTCATCTAAAAATACCAGAGGAGATTTTTTTTGAGTATTGTATCATATATTACATACAAAGCCTTTGTCGATGCGTTGGGTGCTTGTCTTCAGAAGCTAAATCTGGGTGGCTATTTTAACAGTTGTTCTTATGTTGAATGAGGCAGGAGTTGGACAGAAAAAAAGTGTGCTGTGGTCTTATTTATAGCAAGGGACACCCATCCGTGGTAGTCTACCGTCATGGTGGACCACCGACAAGGGGCCCAGTTAAGATTGCGTGAGAAACCACAAGCCCAGCAATAACGTTCAGTGCTTTAGTTCACAATCCAGGTAACAGTCCATTGAGGCAGAGGATTTTGCCTGTAATTTCTTGGATTATTTTGCAAAGGAAAGAACTAATAACCTACCAAGGCTTTGAATCCTGCACTAGCAGTGCTGGCTTAGAGATTGCTTCCCTTGTGTAAGCTACAGGACTTCAAAACCTCAGCTAACAGCTTGAAAAGGCAGCTAGCCCTGGGGATGAAGGGTCATGAGCCAGCCCTGCCTGGGTCTTCTCCCTCCCCACCTCAACTGGGTCTTTCTTCTCCATCTCTCCCAGCACCACCTTGCACTCCCAGTAATATGCTGGCTGTTGCTGCAGCACCTTTCACCATTGTCACTTTGGCATGCTGTCAGCATTTTCTTCATCTGCACCATGGCCATTCTGACCAACACATGGATCAGCAAAACCTGAATGCGGTGTGTCAGATGGAGGAAGAGC